TCTTTATGTTTAAATTTTTTGTTAAAGCCATACTTTGGTCTAATGTATCTTTACGGTTTTTTTTTTTTTTTTTTGCTATACACTAAAAAAACAAAAACAAAGAGACAGGAAATAAACATACCAGCTAACATCAAGGACACGTAAAACTTTGAACAACTCTCCATTCTTTTTTCTAAACTTTTCCTCTAGCAAAGGACATCCTCTAACATGTAAATACTTCAAGTTGTTGAGAGATTGCATAACATCTTGTGAAGGAAGACACTTCAACTTCGGCAATGAAACAAGCATCAACCTTTCAAGAGATGTCAGTTTCCCTAGCCAATCCGGTAACGTTTCGAGGCATTCGAACTCGGTTATTTCCAGGGTTTGCAGTGCCTCTAAATGCTGAAGTTGTACAGGAAGTGTTTCCCTACCATCGTACAAATAATTTCTACATCCCAAATCCAATATCCGAAGCGATTCGCAAAGGGGACTATCTTTCACCAAGTCTATAGGTAACAATTCATCAGTGTACAATTTGTTTAAACAGGGGAGACTAGACAACCCTGCTAGCTCTAACTTGTACTTTCTTCTTCCATGACATGATGTAATGCCTAGTGCACGAAGCCGAGTTAATGGCGATAGGTTCGGGAGATTTTCAATGTTACAACCATCTAGCATCAGTACTTCTAGCAGTCTGCAGCATTGGAACCCATGTTTTGGAAATGTAACAGTTAACAAGTAACACTGTTTTATTGACAACAATCTTAGTGACCTAAGGTTTTCGACATTGAGATTTCCCTCCGCGTATGTAAAATGATTCAATCTTAGTGAGACGAGGTTGTATAGTGGTGATCCTCCTAAGCCTTTCATCTCCATCAACCATCTAGGGAGTCTTGTACCGCCGTAAAATCCAACCTCAAGCTTAGACAAACTCTCATGAGGCTGCAGGGCTTCTAGGATTATTTCATTATTCATATTGTATGGTTGGTCTCGAATTCTAGACCATTTTAGGATTAACCTATCAACATTTAACTTGCTTCCCAAATTTAGACCTCGAGCCTCATCTAAACAATGTATACATTCTAAACCTTGGATGCTCAATGTACCCTTAAGGTTAAACAATGGACCTAGCTCACTTAATCTACCACCCCAATCTTCTCTTAAATCGATTATCGGTATAGTTTGCAAAGCAGTTAAATGACACAAGCCTAAGGGTATACCAATTTCTTGGTATTTACTAGCACAAATGTGCCTCAAATTTACCAAACTACTAACTTCTTTGGAAAGAATTGGAAAGTGTTTTCTTCCATATACCTTACCAATCGATAACACTCTCAATGTTTGCAAATGGTAAATTTTGGTGATCACTTTCGGAAGTATCCCAAACTCGTTCCCTGAGATATCTAGGTACCTTAAATGTTTTAAGCAACCAACCGACTCTGGCAACTCCTTTAGTCCTAGATTACACAAACATAACACCCTTAAGTTCATAGAATGCGCCAAGAATTTTAAACTTATGTAGACCCTTAGATAAAATGACCGTGGATTGTAATAGTATGTACGAAATTTCTTACAAAATGTAGCCGTGATCTCTCCTTCAAAGAGTGTAGTCGATTGGTGTCGAAGCCCACTTGAAGTATCATTGATCTTTATCTTCTCTTCTAGATTCAAAAACTTCGAGTCACTTGAAACAACGCGTGCCAGAGACAATACAAGATCATGTATCTTGAACGTCTCCACATTTCCTAGTTCATCCAATTCAGCTTCTTGAAAAAAAGAACTATTCAACAAAATGTTCAAATATTTTTCCCCTGTTAACTCCATTTTATCACATGGTTGCAAGAAGCCTTGCGCCATCCACAATTGAATTAACTTATCCTTTTCAATGACTTCGTCTTCCCCAAAAATGGCACAATAGGAAAAACATTTTCTCAAAGCCGTATTTGGCAAGTAAATGAAACTTAATTTTAAGGAAGGCAAAATACCATATTGATCTTCTTTCTCCCATACATCACTTTTCTCAATTTCTTTCCATGCCTTTATATTTTGCTCCCTTAACAAGTCTCCAAGTGCTCTTATGGCTAGAGGAACGCCGCCACATTTCTTTATCATCCTCCTTGCTATCACGTATGCCTCATCACCGGCGCCCACTTGATTGTCACCACTCATCCTCGCCATGAATAAAGACCAACTATCATCTTCATTCAACCCTTGTAGCTTATAAATATAAGCCTTTTGTATGACGTTTTCACCATGGTTGTCACAACTATATGTGTCCATCTTCGCCACCACATTTTTGCCTCGCGAGGTCACTAAAAGGCTAGTACCTTTGGATCCACCAATTTCTTGCAAAGCACATCTAAATGGTTCCCAATCAAATGTATCCCACACATCATCTAGTACGAGTAAGTACCTCTTCCCATTGAGCTTGTCTCGAAGCTTATTTACTATGGCTTGACTTTCCGACAAATTTGAAGCCTCTCCGTAAAGACTTTCAACCATTTTCTTCAAAATATCTGATTGATTAAAGCTATGAGAGACCACAAGCCAAATAACATGAGAATTGAAGCATTCCATCACTTCTTGTGCCTTAGCAACTCGTTTGCTCAATGCCGTCTTTCCTAAGCCTATCATGAACATATAGAAGGTATAAGTGTTCAAGTATTTATTTTTCTTACCAAAAGTTGAAAATATAGAAACACTAGCTTCTTAGAATGTGATGATCATCTTTAAGCCCTTTTACTTATTTCTTATTATCAACAAAATGATTAGAATGATTTATTCGTGTGTCAATTAAACCCCTATTTATAGTGGATAACATATACTTCCTCCGTTCTTTTTACTTGACCCGCTTTGACTTTTACACTATTCACCACCCCTCATTTGACCGTCTTTTGTGAGTAATAGGTAAGGAAAAACATATTCATATGGGATCTTTTTGAATTTATCTCAATAAGTACTATCATAATATATAACTTTTATAATTTTTACTTATGGAGAATAAAAGCTATTGATCGTTAAAGTTTTGCATTGACAAGCGTGAGAAAAGAAACAGGTCAAGTAAAAAAGAACAGAGAAAGTAACAAATAACCAAAATTAGCAAAAATATTCCTAATTCCATTTTATATGCATTTTGTAGAAAAACATTCACTATCTTGAATTGATTACTCTATTCGATCTTGCTTGTTTGACCAATGCCTAGACCGATTAAGATCGATGACAATTAATTCGGCATTTGATACTAACAAGTTTTTAAGGAAATAGCTGTGATATGTAACATGGTAAGGTAATCTTTGGAACATAAAGAAACAAAGTGATCAAATGTTCTATTTTGAATCAAAGAAAACAGAACATTTGATCACTTTGTATAAATCTTGGGGTAATAAACTTACCAGCCAAGCCCACAATTCCAACAACGTTGAAATCTGTCGCGGTGTTTCTAGGGTCACATAACAACCTAACAAGCCGAGTTATGTCCTCATATCTTCCTACAAGAAACCGATCATCAACCCACTGTCGCCGGTTTTGTTGTGTCCTGTTTTCAACCTCATCACCATGACTTCTTGACATGCTATTATGAGCACTAGCTACTTTTATTGGTTTAAGTCCAATAACCTTAGCATCACTATATATCTTAGCTATCAATTTCCTCAACTTCCTCACTCTACGCGCCATATGATAGCGCGAAAATGAAGAAGTAACTCCATCTTTGAGCTTGTCTCTAGCCTTTCTATTCCTGTCTCTACGCTTCAAAGCATCATACGAACACTCGTCGAGTAAATCATCTGCCTCGTAGGCTGCATTGGCTACCTTGTTGAGCCAATCATGTACTAGGTTATTGTTGTTGTAGGTTTGAAAGGAAGCACCCTCTAATAATAAACTTAGTGTAGTAAACTGACTTTGTAGCTCCTTTAACTCTTTCGTGTAATCCCATCCTAGCTTGATTTCGTCGGCGATACGTGACAATAGTAGTGCAAGCATTCCATGAGTTTCTGATGCTATTAGTCCACCTACTGCATTTTCCATAACTCCACTCATTTTGCCCCTTCAACAACTCTTCCAAGTTCATTTGTGATCGATCACCAAGCTGTCGGTTTCACAATCGCTAATCACGGGTTCTTGTAGCATCAAAGGGGAAGATTAAGGATTTGAGTTGTGGTGAGAAATTGAAAATGGTGTGAAGGGAACAAGCAAAGGGAGGCAATCAACTAGTGAGGGAGACTTTTGGAGTTTAGTCTGTTGAATAATATTATTTGAATATTGTGATTTGTGAATAATTAGATCATTAGTGGTTGAAATCAAAATTGGGTGCTTGATATTATAAAGTATTATTCTCAAATGTTGACTTTATGGCTTACATTGATTTATTGAATGGTTTACACAATATCATCCACACAGAGCTAAGTGGTTAAGTACATATCAGTAATCAAAACAATTATACGCAATATAAGGATCTTGCTAACAAGCGCCTTCAATAGTCTAAACTATTTGATAAAAATTTAAAGTATTTCTTCAAATAAACTCCGTATTAATTTTGGAATGCATGACAAAATTACGTATCAATTTGTGTAATTATGAGTATTTATTTCTATTTAATACGTTTACATTTAGTTCTCTTATCTAAAACCACAAGAGTGTCTATTAGCTTTTTTCATGATATAAAAGTAATTGTATTATACAATGTACAATTGGTTATATTTATAAATTGTCATAGGGTTGAAACATGTTGATTTGCAATGGATTAAAAATTGGTATTTATATTATAAAAAAAAGAATCAATATTTGCACACTTTACTACAGTACTACAAACTCTTAAAAGTAAATGGTAACAGTCTAGTTGGTTAAAATCTTGAAAGATAAGAGTAGTAGTACTCTGTATTGAAGACCTATGAACAAACTTCATGTATTTTAAGAAATTGTTATATACACCCGGTGCACGGTGCAACCATTGTTAGCACCCTATAGCAGTTGGGCTTCTTCAAATCATACCAACCCAATGGGCTTCTTCGACACTTACGTATATGACAGTAAACAGGCTTGGATTCGATTAACCTGAAAGAGAACAAGTCCATTTCTTTCCCCCTATTTACAGAAGTACGAAACTCCATTGTTGAGCTTGGCAATGCTTTTTTTTTTTTTTTTTCTTCCATTAATTCTTGAAAATTAAACCAAATTCTACAAACAGAAGTACAAAAATCAGAATTTATTCGAGGTAATTTCAGCTTTAGTTTTATGGTCAAGTAAAATTTACTTTCAATGGTTGATTAAGTTAGTATATTTGTGATTACTAGTACTTATAACTAATAAACCTTGTTTAGTAATTACTGGGTTTCAGGAAATAAGGAAATCATGAAAGGGGCATTGAAGATCAATAGTTTTGTTAACAATTGGGTAATTAAAATTTCTGGGTTTTGTTAGTTTATCAAAGTATTGAAATTTATTGAGTTTTGAAACTCTGGGGGTTAATTAATTCTTTTTTGGGGGGGGGTTATTGATTCAATCAATTGAATTTTGCAGAGAAATGTGGGAATTAGGGGTTTATCAGCATTGGCTGGAAACGGAAAAGGGCTGCAAATATCAGGGGTTAAGGATATTATAGCTGTGGCTTCTGGTAAAGGTGGAGTTGGCAAGTCAACCACTGCAGGTATTGCCTCTTCCTCCATTCTCTCTCCTCTTTCTCTTCAAATTATATTGGAATTTTATTAGGTTGAGTGAAGGAGGAATTGGGGTTTTTGGCTGTTGATACCTTGTGATGAATTTTTACTTGGTTGCTCATTGTGTAGTAATTGGTTGATGTTGGGATTGATAGGGTAGTTTAATTGCTAATTGATGATCTTGAGTCTCAAACATTGGCTTGTTTTTAAGATGTCAACCCGTGGAATTTTGGAGTTTGTTGTGTTGATATGGAAATTGTCTGTAGGGTAAATAAATCATGGGAATGGAAGTGATTGATTTCCAACATTGCAATATTATAGTTTTTTAATGGCAGCCAAATTGTGAGTAAGTGGCTGAATATTAGCTCCTTTGTAAGGTGTTTCGAACATTGGTGGCAACATAAAGGGGAAATGCTTGTTTCTCTGCACCAAACTAGGAGTAATGATGTGGAACATATTGTAAAATGTTTTAGGTTAATATATGTAGATATCATGATATGCAAGGTTTCTATGAACTTTGCTCACATATTTCGTCCAGATACTCAGCAGTGAGGAAAGTGATGGCAGACAAGCTTTTCTGATGTTGGTATTGTTATTAATGATAATTTTTCCATGGAGTGTAACTAGTTGTCCATTGATGCCACTACAGTGTGGTGTTCACGTAGATATGAGATCTGCTGACTCTTGTTATGAACCATCAGAGTATTAAGCTAGTGACTCCTATTATGACCAATTACAATAATCACTGACGCATTAGTAATGACAATCAATTATCTATCTATTTTTAGCTCTTTTTTTTTATTATGTTTTTATTACTCTTAATATTGGCTTCTAGCTTAGAATTTCAGTTTGGAGGAGTAAATTTGTTTTAGAAAGTGGCTTTTCTCTTTACTAGGTCTTCACTTTTTAGATGTTGCATCCTTTGCATTTTAGTTAGCGTCATTTTTTATCTGCACCTCCGCTTATTCTTCAGTTTGGGTCACACTCATGGAGGAGAAATAAGGGTGTTTCATATATCATTAAAAAAAAAAAAAAAAAAAAAAAAAAAAAAAAAAAAAAAAACAAAGACTTGTTTCTGAAAATTTATTTCTTTTCCTTTCCTTTGGGGTGGCTGGCATGAGTGGATTTTTTCAAATACTACATGTAATTTCTGCTAAGACATTCTAATTAAATGTTTTGACCTTATTTTGAAGAGGAATAGTTTCATATTAGAAACTTTGCTAATATAGCTGATATGTGTTTGTGTGATTATTTAATTTGCAGTTAATTTGGCTGTTGCCCTTGCTAATAGATGTCAGCTTGCTGTTGGTCTGCTTGATGCTGATGTCTATGGACCTTCTATCCCTACAATGATGAAGATTCATGGAAAGCCAGAAGCCACCGAGGGTGAGTTTTTAGTTCTGTGTAACATGTTATAAATTTTTGGTGTACATGTAAATAGGCACTTTCCTTAGTTGATTTCTTGTCTGTCTCTATATAGTTCATACATCATCTTCTTCTGGTTGAGGGGCTCTTTCTGCTATGAGCATATTATCTCATACTGGATATAAATGATTTCCCTTTTTTTGCTGAATTTTTAGATTTGAAGATGATTCCCAAGGAAAACTATGGAGTAAAGTGCATGTCAATGGGATTGCTTGTGGAAAAGGATGCACCAATTGTTTGGAGAGGTCCCATGGTACATAATTCTGCATCATATGCTTGTATTAGCTTTTGATTTCTGGCATCAAACTCTGGGTTTCATCTTGGCTTGACTCTAGTCTTTCAGGTAATGAGTGCTCTAGAGAAAATGGCCAAAGGAGTTGATTGGGGGAAGCTTGACATTCTTGTGGTTGACATGCCACCTGGAACTGGTGATGCTCAGCTGACTATTTCTCAGCGGCTGCAATTATCAGGTACTTTAATTTTGTAATTTGTTAACAGTTTAGTGTAGGAACCCAACATTCGTTTGCGGGCTTATGCAAAGCATCATCACTTATATCATTAAGAGTAAATAAACTTAGCAGATTAATCAAGTCAATGTATCTTTGTAGTGAAGAATCTTTCTGTTTTGGCCTCGCGTGGGGTGTTGGGGTATTCAGGAGGCGGTGATAGCACAGTGTTCACTGTGATGTCATTTAAACTACTATGTTTTGCTTCCTTTGGTTGCTTAGGTTAGAAGTCCAGCTTGAATTATTTCCCCTGAAATGTAACTTTTCTGTTTTTTCTTGTATAGGTGCTATAATTGTCTCCACTCCTCAAGATATTGCATTACTTGATGCTAGAAGAGGTGCTCACATGTTCTCCAAAGTCAATGTTCCGGTATGATTAACTCTTTTGAAACTATTGACTGCTCTCCTGAATCGCTTAATGTGATAATATTTGAGCAAATATGGAACATTGATGCTTTTGGACGTGTTGAAATTCTGTACATAGGACTTAATATATTTCAAGAATGAAAACTCAAGCTTTCCTAAGGCTGACCAATTGTTAAACTAATAAACTCTCTTCTGCTGCTTATTTGTTTCATCCTTTAGGTTAAATGATGTTTACTGCCCTCTGGTCTTGATGACCATTTGTGCGCTCATAAGTAGATCCCATGATAAATAAAAGCAGAATTTTACCTTCATTGTTTGACCATCGTGTTGATGGACCGTTATAGTCTAGTTGGTTACCTGTAAGTATCTGTTTCTGTTATGGTGTACCTCTGAGACAGAATCTGTAAGGACGATTTACCTCTTGAGAGTTGGGACTAAGGAGATTAGATGTTTGCTGATTAATCTCCGTGTTGCTTGTCAGTTATATCTGTTTGATAGTACAATAATGTATGGGCTTTGGTTTTCCCTGCAGGTTATAGGAATCATTGAAAACATGAGCTGCTTTATGTGTCCTCACTGTAGCCAACCTTCATTTATCTTTGGGGAAGGAGGAGCAAGGAGGACAGGATCTGAACTGTCTCTTGAATTTCTTGGTGATGTAAGTGATTATCTTTTCGAGAAATTTAGTATGAGGAAGCTATGTCCTAAATTTTGCTTTTTGGAATCATAAAGAATCAAAATCTTAGTATTGTTCTTTTGTATTTCTACTGTCAAAGTCTCAAGTCCATTTCTCCCAGCAAATGCTTGGGTTGAAATTGTTTTGGGTTTAATTTTGTTTGTGTTGCCTGTCAGTTGATTTCTTCCCCTCACCCTCTCTGCGTGGGAAGTGAAACATGTTACGTGTAATACTGGTTGATGATGAACTTGTGTTTTACAAGACCAACCTTAGTTCATTAGCATCAAACAAGTTTTTACCTGTCCTGCCTGTGAGTTGTGGTATAAGGAAGATCACTTGATGATAATTGCTAGATTAGATATCTTGATGATTTTTTCTGAAATTATTACACAAATTTTTACCTGTCCTGCCTATGAGTTATGGTATAAGGAAGATCTCTTGGTGCACCAACCGCATATTCCCTTAGAGTTGACGAGGGAAAAATATCAACATCCAAAAACCTGACCTACTGATAGTTAATCTCGATTTTCCTAAATCCTGCAAGAAGTTCTGAGGAAACTGCGTAAAAAAATAGATTAGCATTGTCGTGGAATTAATTGTGCTAGAAGAGATGATGTGTTTTCCAACTGATTGAGTGTTTCTGTCTTTATTGGAGATAACCAATCCTGATCTCTAAGGCTCAAAGTAGTGTTGGTTGTTGGAATCTGTCATCTAGGCCTAAATAGTCTGGCAATTGACCATCAAGTGAAACCCCAAAAGTGTAGCTGTGAAGATTATGGTTGGTTAAGGAATGATAGATGAGATTGTGAACTATCTTATGCCCTCAGTCCCTAGAAAAATAGTTTGCCCTTTCACAAATCCTAATCGTGCCTGACAGTAACAATTACACTGCCTTGCCAACACACCACATTACCGCATGTGAGTACTTCTCAGTGTCCTCATTTTGTCAGTTTGTGTGTTTGTTACTTAGCCCTGAGTTCCCTATTCTTTGCTCTCAGCCCACTCTACAAATACCCAAATATCCCCATGATTGAAAGCTAATATAACTATATGTAGATATTATGTTTTTAGATGGATTTTGACTATGATTTTATTTCCTTTAAAGATGTTTTTACAAGTTTATGTTTTAACTATTGCAGATACCCATAGAGATGGACATTAGAACTTGCTGTGATGATGGTGTCCCTATTGTAATATCGTCACCAGATTCAACCAGTGCCAGAAGATACACTGATGTGGCTCAGAAGGTTATAAAGCGACTAGAGGAAATTTCAGAGAAGCAATTTAGCCCTGAAATTTCACTATGATTTTCAGGACTTGCAAGACTACACAGAGAAATTTCCAGTACCTTGTACCTTTCTGAGGAAAAAAGAGAGGTAGACCTTGTAGTCTCAATAGTATTTTTGTGCAGTCAGAAAATTCTAAGATCAGGGTCTGCATGTAATCAAGTCCTCTTGTATGGTAACTATGGTCTGCATGTAATCAAGTCCTCTTGTATGGTAACTATGGTCTGCATGTAATCAAGTCCTCTTGTATGGTAACTAGCAATTACCCCTCCGGTTTTTAATTGTCTCTGTATTTACTTTTCAAGTTTTGTTAAAACGCCTTCTATTTACCTGAGTATTTAAGTGTTCAGCCACAATTGTTCCAGATTGCTGCCCTTTATAGCTCGATACAATTTCCTTTTTGGCTACCTCATTGCTGATGTTCTTTAATATGCTTATCCCATTTCTTTGTTTTCTTATCTTCAACTAAACCATGTTTATACAGTTAGCAAGTGGCTGGTGATTGACGCCCTTAATGCTCGTTACGTTCATTGCTTGGCTACCACTTTACTAAACTAGGGTACCTTACCTTTTGCTATAGGCTTATAATGATAAATAGTAGTGATGTAAACGTGAATTAATCTATTTTTAAGGCAGTTTTCATGACACATCATCAAAAAATTTGTATCAATGATAGATACCACCTTCAAGAGTTTAACCAACTAAACTAACTTAGTGTCCGATAAAAGTTACTAATAATATTATTCTATATATATCTCAAACACCAACACGTGTTGCCATTTCAAGCACCCGACTTAAATGATCCAATAAAGAAATCGTGCCTATTCGCCGCAATGAAAAAACAAAAGAAAATAGTTTTGTTAGTTCAATACATCAAATAAAAAGCCCACAAAAAAACCATTTCAACTTCACTATACTACTAATCACACTTTTCTGGGCTTGAAAACTCCATGCATTTCAGAACTTCAATTCACACTTTATCTCTCCTCCATCTTCTTCTTCGCTGAGTGAGTTGTTCTTCCCCAAATCAGTGAAGTCTGAATGCATCACTTCATCTTATCCCCCAAATTCCTAATTTCTTCCAATGTCTTCTTCCCCTCACTCTCTCTCCTCCCTCCCACAAACCCTAATTCAATAATCCCATCAAATTCATCTAAAACCCTCAGAAATTCCATCGTTAATTGCAGAGGAATTGAAGTTTCGGTCCTAAGTAATCACTTAAATTCGCTCAGTTCTTCGAATTATAATGGCTCAATTGGAAATGAGAAGTTGAGAAATGTAGATGTTAAAGATGTTGATATTGCGACGCTTGGAAATCTTTGCGTCGACATTGTTCTTAATATTCCTCAGCTTCCCCCGAAGCCATTATCTGAAAGGAAAGCTTACATGGATTCTCTGTCATCTTCTCCTCCTGATAAGGTATTTTTCTTTTTCTTTTATTTCACATTTTCTTGTCCAATTTTATCAAGAAATTGTTTGATTTTCATTTTTGTGTTAATTATAAGAATTTATGTGGTTATTAATGAATAGTTTGCTTAATTTTTGCTGCTTTAATTTAATTCTTTGGGTATTTATATTGATTATTACATTAACAATCTTTAGATAACAAACATTAACATCTTTATTGAGCAATTTGTCAGTTACTTTGTTATAATATGCTTAAGCCATTCCTGTTTCATGAAGTATCTTATGCCAATTTATCTCCAAAAAAAATATAGGTATATATTTAAAGGGGATAAAGAGATTTTGTTGGTTGAGAATGGAGTGTATGTTATTCTCAAATGGAAAGAAGTTAAAGAAAAGACGAAGAAATGAATATTAAAGGCTAAATTGTGTTTGTTTGATTAAATGCAATATATTAACGGCATTGGATCATGGTGCTGATTGTGGTTGGGTATGTTTCAAACTACGCGGAGATAATTCAGAAGCTCCAAACTTTACTGGTTAACTAATAACTTGATTATCCATGGGCCATGGCAACTGATGATTAATGTATAATCTTATTGCTGCCAAGATTTTAGGATTTAGAGGGGAGGGGGCAACAGTTACAGAATAACTTATTACTCCTTAACTAGTCCATGACACAAAGATTCATTTACAATCCATTTTGTAGCCACTTATAAATAGCGGTAATGTGAATGAATTTTAGTTAAATTTGGCAAGCAAATTAATATTCTAATGTCCATGGTAAGGCATTCTCATCCCAATGTGTTTTTCTTCATAAATGTTGTGCAATACAGCAATACTTCCCAGTGGTATTAGATGGTAATGAATATTTAATTTGTAAACAAAGAGAGATAATTTTGGTTGAACACTTGAACTAGCATTACCATGGAAATAATTATTGATTTTTCTTTCAAATTTTTATTCCCATTACCATCATTTATAATTACTTACTAATTGTGCCGTGAGGGTCAATAGCATTCAAACTTTAGAGTTTAAACTAAAAAATAGAAGGATTTGCTACTTTGCTTGATATAATACAGAGTAGAATCCTGGAAACATGTTCATGTTTATAGAATAAGATGTCAGTCATATTGGAAAACTCCCAATGTTAGAACTTATAAGTTTAGGGCCTTCCTTTATTCTTCAATCATTTGTTTAAAACCTTGCTTGTATGAAAGCTTAAATTCCATGGAGGTTGAGTTTTCCAAAAGGCCAGAATTAGAGTGTATAACATAAAGGCAAAATTGGAGAATTTTTCACTTCGTGATTTTGTAAGCTTCTTTTTCTTATATAGGGTTCTTTGTTGCTTGCTAAATGTTTAATTATAGCTCGATTAACTTTTATATATATTTATTTTCCTGATTATATTTTTGAGTTCTTACATTGGTGATCGTTTTTTTTTTCCCATAGCAATATTGGGAAGCTGGTGGCCACTGTAATACAGCCATTGCAGCAGCCAGACTGGGACTACGATGCCGCGCAATTGGTCATGTGGGTAATGAAATCTATGGAAGTTTTCTTCAGAATGTGCTACATGATGAGGGAATCGGTTTTGTGGAGATGGTTGATGATCTCGAAGCTGTTAAGAGTGTAACCGAAGCATATCAAACCCTCCTTTGCTGGGTTTTGGTGGATCCTATGCATAGGCATGGTTTTTGCAGGTTTGTGTACCTTAAGTGTTGTTCTGGATAGATAGAGAAGTGATGAAGGTTGATTACAATTTGTTTAACATGCTAGAAAGTAGATTATCTATTGTTAATATTCAAGACAAATGAAAAGAAATTACATAACAAAATAAATTCCATGATTAAACTCTCGCTATATATGTTAACTGAATGTATGTTTTCTCTCAGCCGAGCAGATTTTAGTGACGAGCCTGCTTTTAGCTGGATAAATGAGCTCTCAAGGGATGTAAAATTGGCCATCAAAGAGTCAAAGATTTTGGTGGTCAATGGGTATGGTTTTGATGAGCTCTCCCCTGGTTTTATAGTGTCTGCTTTGAAGTATGCTGTGGAAGTTGGGACTTCTGTCTTCTTTGATCCTGGACCAAAGGGGAAATCTCTATCTATGGGATCTCCTGAAGAACAAATTGCCCTTAATGAGCTTTTGAAGATGAGTGATGTTCTTCTTCTAACTTCTGATGAGGTCTAGCTCATAACTTACCAGTAATCTACATTACGCATCTAAATCTATTCCTCGTTCTGAATGTAGTGTTTTCTCTGCAAAAACCTCATATGGCTCTTTATTGGACCTATTGAAGGCTTTAGGCATGCGTTTGTTTGCTTTTTATAGATGCTTTACATCACCATGCTGCTGTATTCATCATGTCTGCCTGTTTGTAATGTGTGTATACAAACAATTGTTTAGGCTGAATCCTTAACTGGCATTGGGAATCCAATATTAGCTGGGCAAGAGCTGCTCAAAAGAGGGTCAAGGACCAAATGGGTCATCATCAAAATGGGATCGAAGGGTTCAATACTTGTCACTCTCTCTGGGACATCTTGTGCCCCATCATACAAGGTAACATTTTAGTCATCTAAAACTTTGTGAAAGGTAGTTTACACTATATACCCAATATACTGCTTTAAAGGGGTAGAAAATTGTCTTCGCATTTTTTCTAATGCTGAACAATTATCATCAAACAAGTTTAAATGAAAGAGAAATCTGTTCTTGGTTGCAATTGTTCACATTTCATTTGGAGCTCAAAATGGGAACAGAGTTCCTTTCACAGTTATTTTGTTGTGCCTTTATATACATTTTTGCACTCTCAGACATCATATATTATGACATCCCTCAAGTTAGTGTTTTAACTTTTTAAAATTGCTTCACACATAGCTGTAAATTGAAATAAGTGTTGTCATCAATTCATAAAACTTTAATTACCTATAGTACATGCCTTAAGCTATAATCTAATGACAATCAACTTGTGTGTGATGTTTATGACCCTGTCAACACTTGTGTGAGGGTTTGCTCTTGGCTCAATTTTATATGATATGTTGTGGATAACACACTTATAAAGTTATAATGTGTTGTTGAAGGTCAAGAAATACTGAAAATTGACTAGGATATAAATTGTTTATATTCCGCACAATGAGTACTATGTTTTTATGTTCAATCTGCATGTAGACACCCAAGACCTCAAGATTAATGATATACAGTGGGTAAAAACAAACAAACAAAACTAAGCCTCTACTCTTTGCATAAACCTTCTATGGTGCACACAATATTGCCATGTTTCCTCTTTCTTAAAATCTGCTGTGTAACTGTGTTAACTTAGGGGAAATCTCTTCATCAAATTTTCTTTCTAGTTCTTTCTTTGTAGCTCCCCATATTAGTAGCAAAAAAAAAATATCATTAAATTCCCAGCTTAACTAGACTTTTATAGGAGTACTTTTTAGCAATTTTCCATATGTTTGGGTTCCTCACATTTTGGGTTGATGCTGCCTATTTTGTATTGTACTTTTTCTGGTTCTTGATGCCAAATTGGGTTTGACGAACTTGTTATGATTTAAAAGTTTCACTTTGTTTTGCCTTTATATAACAGATGAATATAAGTTGCTACCTTGAATGTTGCAGGTGAAGATCATTGACACTGTTGGCTGTGGGGATAGTTTTGTGGCTGCTGTGGCATTTGGTTTCGTGCATGAAATGCCTATGATTCACACATTAGCTATAGCTAATGCAGTTGGTGCTGCCACAGCTATGGGCTGTGGTGCTGGCAGGAATGTTGCAACCTTGACAAAAGCAATGGAACTTATCAAAGCTGGTGATTTAAATGAGGATGACAAATTTTGGAGGGATCTTCTTGATAAAACTGCAGAGGTTCAGGAATTTACTTTGCTCTCAAAGAAAGTAATAAATGAGAAAGATAGTAATTTGAATTGTGTGTCCTTCGAAAAGATATTTCCTGAAATAACAAGTAAGCTTGAATTAGCCAAGTTATTCACTAAAGTCTTCTCGTCTGAATCATAGTCAATTTCTAGCACAGCACATACCAGTATTGATTGTTGGCATCTTGCCCCATTCTCCACCCCATCCCTCCACCTTTTGTATTCTAGGATAGGCCGGGTGAATTTTGGTTCACTGTTCATGATCATCTCTACGTAACAAACTGCTAATAGATGCAGAAATGTTAGCGGAGGAAGTGTTAGCAGAGTTATTGAATTTTTGTAACTAGATTTGCAAGGATATGTACTTAGATTGCCACCATATTGGTAAAAAATAGGGGTCTGTGTCTGCCACATTGGTGACTGGTGTATAAAAACTATTTCTGGCGATATTTTTGTATTTAGAGAGCGACGGGGACAAAGACACCCTGAACTAAAGCCGGTACCTGTATTGCGACTACATACTTGTATTTGTTCAAGCATTATTCTGCTATATATTATACTGTGCTGATTGGCAGGGCAACTGCCAACAAAATGATTGATTATGAATTGATAATGCACAAAAGAATTATGCAGAAGCCCAGAAGTGTTCAAGATTTAAATGGTGTCCACTCTCAATTGACAGTATCATAATACTGGCTCAAAACTTTGTAACTGGGATCATAACACTTTTTTTTTTAGTGTAATCCAACAAATGGGCATCAAGCTTGATTTGACTGTGTTTCAATTAATTTATACAAAGTACTCCATATTTATTAGGTTTAAAATGCAAAATAAGGTTTAAAAAAAAAAAAAAAGGAAAGGTGTAAAAACCCAATAAAAAAAAGTGGGATAAGCTTGTAAAAAATTGGGGAAGGAAGACTGTTTGTGTTGTTGGTGATGGAGGGGTAGTATTGTTTGCATATTTTTTTTTTTTCTTGAGGAAATGCATATAGACTTGGTACTTGCATATTTTGTTCACATCCAATAAATAATTTTTTTTTTTTTTGTTTTTGAAAAGGTAAGAAGAAATAAATATTAGGAAGCCCTCCTCATGAGGGAAATTTCTAATGTATCAGAAGAAAAAATAGAAAACAATTTAGAGTTATTACAAATATCAATATCCATACTACTACAACATACAATAAATTATATGACGATATATTTCTTTTTGTTTTTTGTAATAAATTATATGACGATGTATTTCTTTTTGTTTTTTGTAAAATATACTAATTGATGTATTTTATAATATATATATATATAAAAGGGGGAAAATCCTATTATGACGTTGTGGATATTTTTCCATAATAAAGAAATGGCTTCAGTCACTCCATTATGAATGAACAATTATAGCAATCAACCAACAATATTTGGTATTGAGTAACAAACACGACACTCATACGTAGTACAATATATATATATATATATATATATATATATATATATATATATATATATATATATATATATACAGTATGATATAACATCAACAACATGATAATATATTTGGGTATATTTGACAACTCGATAAAGATGAAGAATTCTCGACATCTTAATAGGATCCCGGGATACCAATTTAGTGATATGTTGCAGCTCTTAACTACCTATGCAACATGATCCTAAAATAGTCATATAATTGAATCGAACTCGTTTTCAAGACTTTAGAGACATATTGGTAGGTCTTTTATTTGACCTAAGGAAAACTCCACACATTCACTTTAGAGTTGAATTTTTTTATTTTTTTTTTCAAAATTGTCCTGAAACGTGGATTGTAACTTTCAATTTTAGACAATTTTCAACATTTCCGGACCCAAATAGACAAGGAATTGGGGTGCTTGCCATGAACCCCACAACACCCTGAGAGGCAATTTGGGTGGTTGGAATTGTCTACTTTTCCTACAAATTGTTAACTTAGTCGTTCATGTATAGGTATCTCTCCATCAACTTAAGCCTACCTCGACTTTAGGTGACCGACTATGGTCATATACGGTTCCAATCAATATTATATGCCTCGGAATGCATTCCTTACGATCCAGAAATTTTTCAATACCAAGTTCCGAAATCTCCAAAATTGGTTCAATTTTGTGCATTATATCCTTCAAATTTAGCCTCTGGTGAACATTTTTGGACCCGCCTAAATTATGCATTGAGATATTTCTCACATTATTATAAATCTAACAAGACCCAATTTGATTTTTATTTTTTTTTATTATTATTATTATCATATACATAAGGTCAAAGTTTGAAAAAATCAAACAATCAGATCACACAAGATCAAATCAGATCGAATCGTATAAACAAAAATAAGATGAACTAAACAACCTCTTACTCTTTTTTTTTTTTTTCACAGAAACCTCTTACTGACATAAAGTATTAGTCTAAACTTAAAACTCAAAATCAATAGAAACTTTTAGGATTCTTTTAAAAAAAGAGAGAAAAGAAAAAAAAAAAAAAGAAATTTCAAAGAAAAAATAAAGTAAAAAGAAATTCCCAATCATATCAGAATTTGACGAGGGTAGTAAGGGAAAACACAGAACAAAAAAAAGAGCAAGTAGTGGGATGACCCAAAAATACCCCTTTTTATATGAATTTTGATGTATATTTCAATTACCCTAAAAAAAACTCTCTTTGAATCGCCAACAATCTTGCTCAATTCTTAGCTACCCTTTTGCCCCTGCAAATTTATCTCTTCCCTTCCTCTACCCTCCTCCTATAAGGTGCTTTCTTTTTACCCAATTTTTTTTTTAGTGCCCGCCAAAATCTATTTAATTCCCTCTTTCTAACCTTATTCTATATTCTCGTGCTTATTTTTTCCAATTTTGTTAGCTAGATCTGTGATTTTTGTTTAATCAATGTCTCATTCTGTTTGTATTTTGATTTTTCAGGTGATTTCTGAGGTGGGGTTTTATAAAGTTCGAATCTTTCTACAATTTGTAAGATACACAGATCAAGAATTTGGTGATTCTGTAATTTCTGCTTCTAGAATTCGCTGTTTCTGGTAATTTGCTCGGTACCCATCTATGGATTTTTCAATTTTTTCCCTTTCACCCCTTATTTTTCCTCCAATTGATGCTTAATTAGTTAATATATTTAGGGTTCGAAGAATTGTGATTGATTTTTACTATTAGTTCATTTAGATCAAATGTAATGCTGAAATCTTATTTGTAATTGGTTTTAAACTTATCGTTTGTAATTGGGTTTTCAGTGTTGTTTGCTGGAATCTTGTTGCTGAAGCTGAATATCTGAAACTGCTTGACTGTTGCTTGATGAGTCTTGTTGAGTAAATAGGAGTGAGAGTGATATGGAGGATTAATTTCTATTTGGTGTGAGTCAATTTAGTTGTGGGTTCATGGAAGACCGCGATTTGGTTATTGGGTCGAGTCATGGTTTTCCTAATGTGAAACAAGAATATGGATTTTTCAATAACCATGAATTTATTTCTAGTCAAAATCATGGTTTAGGGCATGGGAATTCTTTACCTTTAGAAGACAACCATGAGATTGGGTTAGATGTGCAACATGACAATGAGCATGATTTGGGATTAGCTCATGAACAGAGCCACCATTTGACTATTAGCCAGATTGATGAGGATAATATGAGTCCGCTGCAATTAGTTACTCGTGATTATGATCAAGATGATGGATATAGTCATGAAGATGAGGCTGAATCAAATGTAGGTTCTAGTGGACAGGTGGTAGACAAAGGGAATTTTGAGGAGCCGGGTCATCAGTTGTGTGATACAGATGAAAGTCATAAGTTGGATCACTTAGATGTTTCAGATACCCATGATTTTGATAAAAGCCTTGAGATTAATGGCAACCATACTCAAGAGATGAGCATTGCTCCTACTTCAGATTTTGAAATTGGGGTGCCTGAGCTGATTTACTCAGCGCCTCCTATAGTGCAGTCACGGTGTCTTGCTCCAGCGCCTGACCATGAATTGCATGTGGGACAGGAATTTCCTGATGTGCAGAGCTGTCGTAGGGCACTTAGAGATGCAGCCATCGCCCTTCATTTTGAAATTCAGACTGTCAAGTCTGATAAAACTCGCTTCACTGCCAAATGTGTCAACGAGGGATGCCCTTGGAGGATCCATGCTGCTAAGCTTCCTGGTGTTCCTACATTCTCAATTCGAACCCTTAATAGTAATCATACATGTGATGGTTTAACTCATCTTGGCCATCAACAAGCCACTGTTGAATGGGTTGCTCATTCCGTGGAGCAGCAACTTAGGGAGAATCCAAATTGCAAGCCAAAAGAGATATTGGAAGAGATCCACCGGGTTCATGGAATTGCTTTGTCATACAAGCAAGCCTGGAGAGGGAAGGAACGAATCATGGCTACTGTCCGTGGATCATTCGAGGAGGGATATCGACTCCTTCCTCAGTATGTTGAACAGATTGAACGAACAAATCCAGGGAGTATAGCAGCGGTATTTCCCAATCCAGAGGATAACTCTTTCCACCGGCTGTTTGTGTCGTTTCAAGCATCAATTTATGGTTTTCTCAATGGATGTCGCCCCCTTCTAGGACTTGATAGGATTGCCTTAAAGAGCAAATACCTAGGAACTTTACTTCTGGCTGCTGGTTATGATGGGGATGGAGCTCTATTCCCTTTAGCTTTTGGGGTAATTGATGAGGAAACTGATGACAATTGGATGTGGTTCCTCTCTGAGTTGCATAGTTTGCTCGATTTGAATACAGAGAATATGCCAAGGCTTACTATCTTGTCTGATAGGCAAAAGGGTATAGTTGAGGGGGTGGAAGCAAATTTCCCCACTGCATTCCATGGGTTTTGTATGCGACATCTTAGTGAAAGCTTTCGTAGAGAGTTTAACAATACCATGCTCGTCAATCTATTTTGGGAAGCTGCTCGGGCCCTTACTGTCATCGAGTATGAGACCAAAATTCTTGAGATTGAGGAAATTTCATCAGATGCAGCCTATTGGATCAGACGGCTTCCACCACGCTTATGGGCCACTGCATATTTTGAAGGGACGAGATTTGGCCATTTGACAGCTAGTATGGCTGAATCAGTAAGCCCATGGATTCTAGAAGCTTCTACTCTCCCAATGGTTCAGATGATGGAGAATATAAGAAGGCAGCTGATGACTTTGTTCAATGAACGGCGTGAGGTAAGTATGCAATGGGCAAGCACACTGGTACCAAACGCAGAAAGACAGGTGGCAGAAGCCATAGAGCAAGCTCGGACTTACCAAGTTCTCCGAGCTAATGAAGCTGAATTCGAAGTTATATCCCATGAGGGTACCAATATTGTTGATATCAGAAATCGTTGTTGCCTTTGTCATGGATGGCAGGCATATGGGTTGCCTTGTGCTCATGCTGTAGCGGCTTTACTTTCTTGTAGGCAGAATGTTCATCGGTTTGCTGAGAGCTGCTTCACAGTTGCTACTTACAGAAAGGCTTACTCCCAGACCATTCACCCTATTCCAGATAAGACCCTGTGGAATGAGGGTAATAACAATAACAATAGTATTACTGACATCATCTTGAGCCCGCCTAAATCACTTCGTCCACCTCCACGTCCTAGGAAAAAGCGTGTCCGGGCTGAAGACCGTGTTGGCCCAGTGAAGCGAGTTGTGCACTGTAGCCGTTGCAATCAAACTGGACATTTTAGAACCACCTGTGCAGCTCCTATATAGATAATTAGATGTATGATGATTCATCTTCTTTGTTTTCCTTGCAATGTGTTTCTTTAGTTGCCTTCAGAGTTCATTGTACTTCAGTATCAGGCTGTCTGTTCTTAGTTCTAATACAACAAGAGTTTCCATGAGTGCAACTAATTCTGGCCATTTTAATTGATACTCTGTATGTTAATAGCAGTTCCGTTGCTATATTTCTTAGTTGAACACGATTCTTTGTTTGCCAACGCACAAGTTTAACAAGTATTATAGTAAAAAGTTTATCTTGTATTTTGAAATTATATACGAGTATATGGACAAATTCAACATGTTTTTACATGACTATGTTTTATCACTCCGTATAAAATTACAAAAAACCAAAGCAGGGATTGTGAATACACTAAATAGTAATTACAAAGAAGGTTTTTTTTATTTCGAGCTACATTTGTTTAGCTTCATAAATTAGTATAAATAAAATTCCTACACCTTCTTTTTTTGACGAACCAAGCCAAATTATTTTACTTGATATTTCTTTGTCTATATAACCTTATTATTCTATGTCATGCTATATACACGAATGTACTTACTCCGTTAATAATGATTTACATACTAGTCATACCATCATTTTTGTCTAAGAACCTACAATATTATGAATCAAAAGCCAAAAGACTATAGACATAATTAATCATTTTCAATATGCTTGACTATTGTTAAAGTCAATTTTTTTTCCTGATTACATATATGTTTTAGGAATTATTATTGAAAGAAAGCACAGTAAAATATTCTATAAATAATGGTTTTGGAAAGTTGTCTATAAATAATGTATTATCCCTTGTGCTACAATTTACCCTGCAAGTATGGGCTCAAAGTTTCAAAATAATGGTTTTGGAAATATGATGATGATTGACACTAAAATTGTGACACTTGGTCACAGTTACCATCTGTGCACTAGTATCATTTAACAAGTAATTTTTTGTGTCACTACCAAAGAAAGGTTTAGAATGATGATAGTGAATTTTAGCTTACTTTAACATACTCTATATTAAGTATTATTGTGTTTTATTTTCTTACTATATCGGCGTTTATAGAAGAGTGGATGAACTTGAACTATAATGGACATTGGTTTAAACTTATTGGTAGACAACGAGCATTGTATACAACATATATACCTATTTTTACCAAATCGTATATGAAGGTCTCTATTCGCAAAGGGGAGATTTCTATAAGAGTAACAAATCGGGTGACATTATAAATGAAATACATTTCTTAAAAAAAGTTTTATAAGAGTAACAATTCTAAATTAAACCGGTGAGGGAGTAGTCTCCCTTTTCTACTGCTGTCAAAAAAAAATAAAAAATAAAAAATAAAAAAAAATTCTAAATTAAACCTATTAATTATTATTGTTAAACATTAGAGGAACCAAATTGAAGTAATGGTGAACTTAATAAGTTAGGTCAGTTTCACCTCAACACTCACATGACTTTTGTATACAAATATACAATAAAGCAATATAATTTGTTTGTTTGTTTGTTTTAAGCAAAAATTTCATGTCATTGAAATCTTGATTAGTGGGTTTGAAAATAAAAATTCTTGAAAAATGAGCACAACAAAAACTAAAGAAAAAATTAACAGTACTTTTGAAAGGTTTGACATAACTTTAGATTATTAATAAGTTAAGAAAAAATGTCAATTACTCCGTAATATAATATTTTGATTCTGCAATAAAAAGAATATATCTTTTACTTCCCACTAGAGTAAAGAGGTGAAGTGCTAATTTGATGCCAAGCTTAAATCCCAAGCTTAACCCTTTCAAGCCCTTTTGAGGTAAAAGGCCTACAGGATAAAAGTCTGAAAAAAAAAAAGGAAAATAACAGTAGATTTATAGCTTTTAAAATTTCTTTTATGTATTTATTAGTTATGTTATACAAGTATACTAGTCTAACTTTGAATAGAAAGGCATGTGTTTAGTCTGAAATTATAATTAATTTGTATTATTATTGGATTCTTCTGTGCTCTTCATTCATCCTTTATTCCTTTTAGCTATGAAGACATACAACTTACCTCCTCGGCCGATCAAATAAGTCTTGTAATTCGTATATAACAGGTGTATTGTATTATTGTACATCATAAATCATAAAATTCACCAACTCTTTGCGCATGCAAATTAGTTAAATTTAAATAAAGTCAAGTGACTAAATATGTTGTATATTGTACAATACGATGTACCTCTTGAATAAAAGTTTTTGCATGACTACTATTTTTGAATGGATTGAAATGGAAATACAGAATTAAGATAAAGTATACTTTAACAGTAGATGGATTATGAAATAGAAGGGGTAAAACATATAGATATACAAAATTTGGCCATCAAGCAAAAGGTTTCTAAATTCTACCAAATACATGCATGGTTCTTCCCCTTTAAAAGATTGATAGCCCGTCAAAAGATAATTGAAATTAGCAATTAAGCTGACCTCATTTTGTTGAAATTGAATTAAAGGGTCTATTAATATTTTAACAATGATAGTGACACTATAATATAGGGTAGTAAATTAGTAATATTTCTTAAATTGGAATGAATTGCAATTATATTGGCACAAAGGGAATCTACACCTTTAGTCTAAATCGGAATTCTTATCATCATTGACACTCTCTAATTGGTTTTGGTACAAAAACATACTGATGAATGGGTCAATACTATTGGCCAATCTACTTGAATTGTAACATTGAATTGAATATCAGCTCTTTAAACCATGATTTTCATACAGTAGAGAAATTCTTCTTAATAATTCATACAAAATTACAAATTATTTCTTTATGTCAAAAATATCTTTTTTAACCTTCTAAACTTTCTTATTTGAATACAATTGCTTCCCTTATTATTTAATCATTCTTGAAAAAATCGCTTCATTTAATGATTCCGTCGATAAGTATTTTTCAATTGAAGGGTGCATAAAATATCGGTTCAATATACAAGAAAGACTGGTTTTATTTTTTGTTACATGTCCAATATATTGAGTAGCTAGTGGGAAAAGAGTACAAATACCTAACTATTAGTTATGTAAATGTAACAAATGAAGTAGTCCAACTTATCGTTTAGTGACAACCAAAAGAAATGAAGTCAAACTAGTAATTTTATAATTAACTAATTATGTCAATAATAAGTCAGAATAATGATAAATAAATTCCCATGCATAAATTTTCAACTGATAAATATATATATATATAATATTATACAAGGTATTTTAATAAAAAAAAAATTAAATAAATAAATAAAAATCAAATAACGTACTTTCGCGTGTGAACAAGGCAATTTTCTGAGGTGCTGTAGAAAGTGGACTTATTTTCATGTGTCACAAATTTAAAAAAAGAGAACCTATTCTTACATATAAAGGGAGGATGGACTTCACACCTTTAATTTACAACTTGAAAAATATTGATAGATTATAATGCATGAAGCAAATAGTAGACCTTATTCTCATTCCCATTCTCATTCCATTTCTCTCTCACACTCAAACTCAAACTCAAACTTTTCCTTATTGTGAATCATGGTTGAGGGGAATGCTGTCTGGCTCGAAGTCTTTCGGTTATTGATTCTTAATATGAATGATTTCGGACCAGGCTTCATTCCCCTCAACATACACATGTAGGTTAATCTTCATATGGTGAATTAGTATTACCAAGTCTACAACGTAACCACCTGTATGAATTTCACCATTGGCAGGTTCTAAGAAGGTTCAGATGTACATAACCTTACTAGCAACATTAGCAGATGCATGCTATTTCGAGCAAAACATATAAAGTGAGTTTCTTTAACAAAATCAATGTTTTATGCTTCCTTCACTAATCAAAGTGTGGTTCCTTTGTTCAAGTCGAAACCGTGGTCTTCTCATCTTCAGTTAAGGTGTGAATATATGACTTGGTGATTTTAAAATTCTAAAAATAAAAAAGCATTAACAATAATATTTTTGGCTTTGGAATTTTTTTTTTTTTTTTTATTATTTATCTTTATTCAGGGTTTGTATGTTTTGGGTTTCAAGAAAATGTGAACATTCGATCTGCTGTCAAAGGGTGAGCTGTTGCAAGAAGTGTTAAGAGTCAATAAGAATTACTTTGTTTGTTATATATGGACTTTGAATCTTGTAGCTTTAATTGTTGACAATTTTTTTTTTTTTTTTATTAATCTAATTTGTCAGCTGTGAGATTGACTTGATATAATTTTGCAAAAGAAAGCAAATCATTTGAAGTATTTTTTTCAGTTTTTAATTTGAAGACACAAGTTTTTGTTTCATTACTCAAAGAAGGATCAATAATAAAACGGTAGGCATTTTGAACCAAGGTACATATATTATAAGGTTATGCACACATATTAAACAGAGTACTGTATGTTAGGTAAAATTAAAGCATTTAAGAGTTGACAAATTGAATTGATATATCATACCCATCATAAAAACTTCGTAATACATTCTTTATTTCAAAACAAGCCCTTTGATTTTTATCATATACACATAATTTATTGATTAATTAGCTATTACATTACTTTTTCTAAAATATGTATTTATAGATATTGTACAAATAATATGAAATAAATAGAGTAGCTGTTTTTTTCTAACTTTTCTACTAAACATTTTGCAACTTCCATGCATTTGAAACAGAAATTGCTCGAATGATACAAGGAAAGTTGTCAATTGCATGTGAATTTTACTAGTAATGATACCAAGTGGGTCATGTTCTTCAGGAAGTTCATCTATAAAATGAGCAGAAAACATGATTTTTTTTTTTTTTTCGTTACATAGCAATTAATTTATTTGTCACAATGTGAAGGAAATTTAAATCACACAATAATAATCAAGTACACGAACTTTATGTTAGATGTATAATGTATTATGTATCATAGGAAGATATGACAGGTTGACAGGCATGCAATGTCAGTAACTTCTCATAAACTTGCAGAGTTTAAGTCTTGGACACTAACTACAACAATATCAGTCCGAATTAGAATTCTGCTAAGACTGCAGGTGTGTAGGTCTCAAGAGTTGACGATTTGTATGAATGGGTCGCGTTTGTGTTTGGTTTCGTGTCATTTTTCAAGTTGCTCACAAAATAGATCAAAAATTATAGAGATAAAAGCCATGATATGGCAAATGGGTTAGATTCAGTCAGAAGGGGTTGATTTATGTTCATATCATGTCCACTTTGAATTTCTCTCAGTAATGAACCTCAAGTCGGATTTGTTTTGTGTTATCCTTTAAAGGTTGCTAGTTCTGCTCTTACCCCCCAAGGCACCAGCAGTCAATCTGGATTGTTGTGAGTTTCAGGTAAAACATTTTGCAGCTCCTAGCGCTGTGCTGTGGTGTGGTTGTAATTTTAGTTATAACAGTATAGAACAATCAAATATTCGTTATCAATACCACTGAAATGATATGTCAAAATAATTTCCAGGCAACAGCATAATATAGGCATACAAGAAGAATTTCAATACACAATTTGGGAAGTTATAGATTGAGAATGTTATAGAATTTTATATCATTGTTACAATGATACTTCTGCACCAGTGTCAAGCAGAAGTTAACATAATACACAGACAGTTGTACTGAAAAAGAAATCTATTACAGATTCACAGTATAAATTTGATTACGGAAAATTTACCCTTAACCTGAGCACACTGAATCTTCCATATATGTCACCATTTCCGAAACAAATTACCAGGCATACCTACGATACAAGGTCACTCGCTGGGAAAACTGCCTTTCTCAACCCAGAATTTTTTTTCCAAATATGCCAAACTGCAAACCTCCCTCCTCACACAACCACAAATCTTCGGTATGCATTTGCATGTAAAACTTCACCCAAAAGACATCAGGGAATTTGCTCCTTTGTCCCATATGCAGCCAAGAGGAAATGGTCTTCTCTATCGATTTCTTCAATAGAAGTTGCTGCATCAAAGAAGAAACAAGGTCGAATTGTGCATCTCTGTATATGAATTGAATATTGCTTATCTATGAACTAATGCATTTGTCAATTCAACTGACTGAAGCCTAAGAAGATGGCATCCGATACTAAATCGTTCTGGCCATTGCAAGTCAAAAGAAAAAGTTCTGACATTCTTTAATCAACCCATGCACATAACTGCACGAAATATTCTGAAATCAGTTACAAATACTCTGAAGTCTGAATAGTTATTTCATTGATAATCATTTAAGTTTGGAAATGGAATGGAATGATAAACTGCACTATATAGTGCTTGGTTCAAAATTTCAATTCTAGACTCTGCTATCAAGGTTTAAAACACAATGTCTCCATTGCAAGATGCATTGCAAACCCTGCTCACAAAAGCCACTCCAAACTACCACCTTTATCATACTGCCTACAGCCATCCTCATAACATCACTCCCACTAATTTCTCATGCTGTGTGTAAATTGGCTGTATTGGTTTATGAGAAAGTAGCATGAAATCTTAAATTAGATCATCAAACAAGAATATTATGAACGGAAAACAGTACCAGACACGAGAGAAAAAAAAAAAATTTGAATCAACAGGAGGAAAGTGAGGAGAGAGAACACAATAACGCACCAAATTGCAACGAAGCATGGACAATATCCAAAACACCAAGCAAGTCGGTCAAGGGTTAAGTCCTTCACCACCAAGACCATATGGCCCACATCTGGCCATAGAGTTGATCTATTCACCACACCCAGACCCAAGAACCATGGTTGACAATACATCAATTATATTTATGAGAGAGAAAGGAGCAGTAGTTATCTTTATTGAAGATAGTATGACCTTCAGAAGATGAGAGGTTGTTCGGTGACATGCAAAAGGATGTGAAGCAGAGAGTCATGCAAAGGCAGCAGTGTAAAGAACAGAGCTAGAGGAATCAATTATTAGAAAAAATAACCAAACAGCTTTAATAAGAGAATAGAATCCATTCCTTTACTCTACCTTATCTAACACCACTTAAATTCTAGTTTAACCACAGACTTTGATATTATCAATTTGGCAACAGAAGGGACTCTGCTCAAAAAAGTGACCGTGAACTAAAGACACCTCAAGTTATTTTAACCCTCTAGGGTCTAGGGTCTTAGTTGGTCCTCCTCTCCAGTTACTTAACATCAATTCAAACATTTTCATAGCGTTTTTGTTTCTTTCAAGAATGTCAAGTGCCCCAGACATCAATTTTGATATTCATGCCAATCAAGACAATTATAGACATCAAACATTCCAGAAGCAATTCATTGTGCAAGCAAATTTCTGATTTGCAAAGTTGGTAAAACAAAGTCTTGCAAACAATAAAATTTCCCAAGGTTAACATATTGTCACCTGAGAAATCTTAAATCATGGAGAACAGCAGCTTAATAGAAGCTCCGAGAGAGAGAGCATTTAATTATGAACAGAATGAGGACTACAATCACAGTGTTCTTACAACCAATCAGATATTTATAGGATTTTTTAGAAAATAACACCATAAAATTGTCACAAATTTGATTATAACACCACAAAAATTAAAACTTTTAATGTCACACCACAAAAAAAAAACCAAAAAATTGGATTTCACCACCACTACAAACGCCATCCAAATAACCGTTAGTGGGCCCCACACTATACACGTGTCAGTTATATATTGAATTAAAAAAAAACAAAAAAAAAACTAAAAAAAAATGAAAAACCCTAAAATCCTAACCCAGCCACCACACTTACCACCGGCGCCGGTTCCCCCTCCCCACCGCCACTGCTGGCTCCCCCACAAAACCAGCCAGCCGACCACCTAAACGACGCACCACCCTAGCCCTAAAACACCGTATCCAGCTCAGCCTCAACCCCGATTCGATTCGGTTTCTAGGTACGGGTTAGGGCTCAGGTGAGGGCGGTTTTTGGGTTGGGGTTTCGACGATGGCTCCAGGGGAGATGAGTTCGGCGACGATGGTGGTGATGTTGCTGAGGTAGGTGGTGGTGGCGTGATGTTGCTGGGGGTAGTTCGGCGTAGGTGGTTTTCGGGGAGGGGGAAGGCAAAATTCGGTGGTGTAGGGGTGGTTTCGCCGGTTTTGGTGGGGGAGAGCCGGAGAGGGTGCCGTCGGCCTGGCTTATGGTGTTGGCGGCTGAGGCAAGGTGGCGCAGGTGGTGGGGCTGGCTGGGTTAGGGGATAGGCTTTTTTTTAAAAAAAAAAAGAAATTCTTTTCATTAATTTAATTTTTTAAACCAATAGGCTATTGACACGTGTCAAATTATGGGCCCACTAACGATTTCATCCAAGAATCCGTTAAGTGGTGGTGAAATCAAATTTTTGGGTTTTTATGTGGTGTTATAATAAAAGTTTTTTTTTTTTTTTTTTTTGTGGTGTTATAATCAAATTTTGGGTTTTTTTGTGGTGTTATTTTCTAAAAAATCCATATTTATAACTGAATTAATTAATTACAATGACTAACCTACAGAACTAACTATAGTTAAGTTAAGCTAACTAACAAAATCACATACTCTCATCACCCAAGAACCATTCTAGACTTTACATGCAATCTCATATCATTATACGCACACTTTTTTATAGCTTATAGCAAAAATTAAGCTTTAACTAAGTTTGTAAGAATTCTTAGAGGCCATTACAAACACTTCCATTCTAATACTGACATCTTCCAGATAAACTAAAAGGATGAGGGTAACAGGCAAACCAATTCGCTATTGAATATTTTCTGGATTGTTATTCCCACAAAGGCCGCTAGGGCCACTGTAAATTTCTAGCAGCAATAGCTTTAAGGTTTTTTTTTTTTTTTTTTTTTTTTTTTTTTTTTTTGCATAACAATATTTCTAAGACTTGCTTTTTGTGAACCTTAGAGTTCGTACCTATGCTACTTTGATCATCACACTCGCATTCCTCTCTTAAGACTCACTGCCACAGCTGCAGCAAAAACAACCAGTTTATATCGCGTTAAAAGGCTGACCATGCAACTCATATAGCAGATATAACTGCAAGAAAAAGAAAATTAAAATGAACATACATGATCTGAGCAATACATGCATAGGGATTTGGGAATGTCTGAATGAGTTTGATTGTGCCGATAATCTACTAAGATGATAAATATCTGTCATAACTCACAAATGAAAATTTGAAGTAGATTGATTTATGCTCAGTACCAGTAGACTTACAAGTTTGATCACGCAGTTGTTCTCATAGCATGAATGATGAATCCAAGGGCAAGTCTCTGGTAGATATAGAAGTGTGAAAACCACATCCATCTAAAGTCACAATAATCATGTGAGGAAAGCCAAGAAACTTTCATACCTACAGAAAACAAGCGATAATCTACATCACAGCCTGATATCATGTAATGCCAACTCAGATCAGAAAATAGGCAGCCTCCAATTGTTCTCGATCACTTTGCTTCCATTTTTTTCACTGCTACATAGGTCCAATGGCTTTCCAGAGAGCTAAAATGCTTCCAAATGAGGTTATTTTAGCCTACAATTGACGGAGGTAAGAGTAAGGGGCATCCTCAACCTTGTCAGTGGTGCTGCTCGTCCTGGAATCTTAGTATCATCTTGAAACCATGAAGCCCATAAATTGGCATACTACGAAGGTGACAGGTGCTACCAAGAACCAGCCTATGACCCAACCAGATGTGCTCAAATTGTCTGAGAAAATGACTGCCTGTGTGTACATATTAAAATTGAAGTCACTGAGACTACAGGAATAAGACTCAGCTTCCTAGGTATGTGAGGTGGTGGGCCATGTCAATCTGTTAAATATAGGCTCAAATCTGCCACGGAGAGCAGCTCCTCTATAATCAGATAAATCTCACTTTCAGGGAAGTAAGAAGAGACAGAATTTTGTAGCCTAGTCAGATCATCAGGACTTTTTTGCTGATGCTTTAGCTATAGCTTGCATTGGAAAGGTTGGTAGCATATTGAGCAATTTCTTATGATCTTCGCTCTTAGAAAGTAAATTTACCACAATAGAAGCAGTGAATAAATCTGGTGAAAGTTTTCTTTTCTTCATTTCTTGAAGAAGCTCCACTACCATATTGCTCTCATTTTTCTTACAAAACCCATGCATAAGGGTATTGAATATAAAATCATTAGGGGCACATCCTTTCTCTTCCATTTCTCCAAAATAACTGTAAGCCTCTTCTAATTTGCTTTCCATGCATAACCCATGGATCATGGCTCCATAGGTTACAGTTGTCGGTTGCAAACCAACAGAAGGTAATCTAGAGAACAGCTCTTTGGCAGCTTCAAAGTTTTTCTCTTTACAAAGCCCATCAATGAGGCAGTTATAGGTCTTGACTCCCAGCTTAAACCCACGAGCTTCTAAAGTATTAAAAAGTTCCAATGCCTCTTGAAGGCAATCGTTTTTGCGAAGCCCATCCAAATATATGTTATAGGTAATTGAATTAGGTGTGAGGCCAAGATCTCTTATCTCACCAAATATTTTTCCAGCATCCTCAACTCTTGCACCCTTAAGAAGACCAGTTAGCAAGGTATTCATTGTTACAATTGTTGGCTTAATTCCTTCACTAATCATATCTGCATATAGCCTCATAGCTTCATCTGCATTCCGGTTTCTAAAATATCCATTCATCAAAGTATTATAGCTAATTACATCACAACCGTCACTACTACTTGCTAATAACTCAAACACTGCTTTTGCATCATCAACATTACCAACTAAACAGAGGCCATCTATAAGTGTATTATGTGTAAACACATCAGGAAGCACACCTATCCGCTTCATTAACTCCAACAGTCCTTTCGCTTCTTTGGCTTTGCCTCCTTTGCAAAGCACACTAATGAGCATATTGAATGTCACCACACTAGGCTGGATGTGTTGGTCCAACATTTCATTTAAAAGTCCTATCGCCTCTATCCATGTCCCAAAATGACAAAACCCATCAATCAAAGAACTATAAGCCACAACATCGGGAGAAATACCCTCGGATTTCATTTCCATGAACAATGTTTTCGCCTTATGGACAAATCCTGCTTTACAAAGACCATCAATAAGAGCAGTATAAGACACTAAACTAGGTTTAAAACCAAAACCAAGTTTCCCATTCCCCATTTCTCGATGCAACCGCAACGCGGCTTTGGCGTTCCCCGTCCTACACAACCCATTGATCAAGATCCCACAAGTAGCCACATTTGGCTTACAACCCAAATGCACCATTTTCCTAAACAAGCCTGCAGCTTCACCAATTTTGTCCTCTAAACACAACCCTCTAACCAAAAAGTTTAATGTCATCACATTTGCCTTAAAACCCTTCTTTAAAATCAACCCTAGAACCGAAAACCCAGCACTAGTGCATTTCATACTACAATAACAATTCAACACAGTATTCAAGGATATAAAATTGGGAATCAACCCACTTAAATTCAATCTTTTATAATAGCATATAACAGGATGAAATTGCTTAATTTTAACCATAGCACCCAACAAACAATTGAAAGACGAAATTGGTGGGGTGGGGTGTAAATGAATCATATGATCAAAGAAAAATTTTGCTTCTTCTATAGTGATATTGCCTGATTTGCAAGTAGTACTTAACCATTGAAGCAATTGGGTATCTTCATTAGATTGGGAAATTGATTTTAGTGTAGTTTTTCTGGGCGAAAGTTCGGAAGGATCTACATGAAATAAAGATGAAAGCTTGTTACCCGTTATTGCAGAAGCTGCCATTGAAGGTACATCAGAAAAACTTCTTCGAATGATGAAAGCCATGATTAGCACTTAGCAGCGCCACAAACGAGCGAAAGACGAAAAGAGGAAATGATAGTGAGAAGTGGAGTTGAAGACCTTGAAGTGTTGAACTAGTGATGAGGGAAGTCAAGTAGCTTAAAATCCGTGCCACGCACGGTAAATCTAATAATTTTTAAGAAAATTAATTATATTTAACAAATAAAATTAAAACATACACATCAAATATATAGAAATTATATTGTCATAATTTATATCAATAAGCAAAGCCAAAAAAATGGATTTTTTGTGCTGCCCATACTCGAGATTTTTTTCAGGCGAGGCTTGGTTTTATCAGGTCTAGTGGTCATATTAGTAAGTACTTATTTGTAAATGTCTTTTAATAAACATCAAAAATTATTCAAACAAAGAGTGAGGGATAGCTCAAGTGGTTAGAGTTCCCCTCCCGATCCAAGTGATCTTGAGATCGATTCTCATCACTTAGCCCTTATGATAAATATATTAATTACACATACTATATCACTTTGAAAATCATTTCAATGAAAATAAAGTTATATAAAGTTAAATGATTAATTTGAATATAAACTTATATTGAAATAGAAATAAAATAATAGCTAGAGGTATTTGAAAAAAAAATTAAATGATGTTTTGAAATAATTTCTCTAACATCAATTATATGAATCAATCTTATTATTATTTTTTTGGCAAAATCTAATAATGCTCCATTTAGAAGATGATTAAAAAGGAGTTGGAATAATTATTTAGGTAAATGTGTATAGAAAAATTATGAACACCAAATAAAAAGGAATATATTTTCCATAAAAATAATATGAAAGATTTAAAATAATATTAGTATAGAATCAAATATTAACAAAAAAAAAAAAAAAAAAAAAAAAAAAAAAAAAAAGAGGAAGTTTAAAAAGGGAAGGGGAATTTTGGAGGGAAAAAACAACACCAGGATGTGACACGTGTTGCTCCCGGTGTCTGTGTTAATATTAAGTTATTGATTAGCATATTTCATTACTTTCTTAATTAGTCATTCCTCATTCAGTCATAAAACATCTTTTTGAAGTGTTCGCATAAAAAAAAGACACAATTTGGTTGGCCTAATTTGGTGTTTCCTCCGTTTAAAATTAAATGTAACCGTTTGACTGATACACGTGACAATATCACATTGCGAATTGTCACGAACTCACAAAGTCATAGCTAATCCAAACGGTAGAAGTGAATCAGACTTACAAAGGAGGAAACAAAGATATAGATTGGTTTGCTAATCAAGGTGTAACACCCCCAAATCTCCTTGTACGGAAATACAAGTATAATGCGTATAGATAGACTTAGGCGTGTTACCGCCGCATGATTACGCAAGGTACTCAAAATACTTAACTCAATAACAAAACTTGCAGCGGAAAACCCAACTTTCTTTAATTAATGCTTATAAAAATAGTAACATTCTTATGAGTACTCAAAATAAAGACAAAACCAACACTCCTAAGCTAGGTGAAGCAAATCCCAGGACTCCCATATGCTCATTCATAACTCCACCTGAAAATAGTCAACACTGCTTACCATTAAGGTAAACAGGGCAAACCAAAACAAATAGAAAATACGGATTAGCAAAATAGGTTAAGTACGATAAGTGCAAGATATTGTAAACTCAATTTATTTGCAAACATGCTTTTAAAACCACAATGTTAATCCAATAATTCCAAAACCAATTCCAATAAATCAATATTTCAAATAATTCATTAATAAAAACCAATTTCTCACCCAAGTGTGCACACCCCCCAAACTAGTCTCCTACTATTTCAAGGCTATTCTTGAGGAAAGACTCGGTCATACAAAGTCCAGAGTCTTATCAACCAAATCTGCATAGTGGGATTACTATCAACATGCTTGTAAAGCTTTAATAATAATTCAATAAATCCTCATGAAATTCCTCTTTAAATAAAATCAACCTTTATAATAGATTAAATAAAAAAATCCTTTTATTCAATTCAACATGCTTTCAAAATCAATCTTTTAATAAATATTTGAGAATTAAATCTCATATTAATAACTTTTCAAAATCAATAACTCTTGCTTTGAAGAACCTTTTGATTAATTCAACAAGCTTTTCAAATCAATTCCATTATTTAAACATGATAGTAATTCAAACAATTCAAAACATGATTTTAAAATCAATCCTTCAAAAATACATTTATTAAAACAAATATTAAATCAACACCTCCAAACATACTTTATTTCAAAAATCATAATTCAAATCAATTTAATTCAATCACCAATAAAATCATATAAAACATGTTATTCAAACCAATCACTTTCAAAAGTATCTAGCCACCTAAACGTACCTTGATTCCGAATATCAATCAACACTTTACACTTTCAAAGTTCAATTACGAATACACCTTGCAATTAACATAACTATAAGGTTATCACAACATCTTTAGACATAAACCCAAATCTAATGTGCATGGACTATAAAACTCTTTTAAAAATAATACTTTAATATAAAATTATAGCTTTGAAATAGGTATTTATATTTTAGAAAACTAACCATGAAGAAAATAAAGGAATAGGATTAAAGAGAATTGAATTTGCGTTGGAAAGAATAGGCAGAACTTGCAAAGGCTATAACTCCTTCAGTATAATTCCGAATTGGGTGATTCTTGAGTCTAACCTAAAGGTTTTTCGAGAGGAACAAATTTCCGTGAAATAGCAAAATCCCAAAACTGACCAGAAGTGCTCTGAAATTGGCTCCAAAGATATACGGACTGATTTTCTTTTAGAAAAGAGGAGAAGAAAAGTATGAAAAGGTTAAGGGAAAAGAAGAATAAGAGAGAAGAAGAGAATTGGGTTTTGATGTGAAGAATATGAGAGGTATGAGGGGGTATTTATAGGCTAGCTCATGCAAGAATTATGGTAGGAGAATGTAGGAAGAATTATGGTAAATTGATTTAAGGAAATTACTTGGAGAAGAGAGTTTAAAAATTAAGAAAGGTTTAATATTATGGTGACTAAGAAATAATTAATTATGAAAAGTGTGTTGTCATAAAAAATAATATGGCAAATGGCTTTTCTTAGGGAATAATCAAGAGTGGTTTAAGGTAAATAAATAAGATATCAAATCTTTGTGAGATGGAAAATAGGAATTAAGGAAATAAGGAATTTAAGAAAGATAATTAAAATACAAAACTAACAAAATAATTAACCCAAAATTAACATAGGGTGTCCAAAAGTATTGAGCATATCCATGCTCATATTTTTGGACCTCCACTACTAGTTTTAGGAAAATATTTGCTAGATTTTAAGCATTAAAAATGATTGTGTAAATAATATATTTTGTATAAAATAATTAATTAGGAAAATACCAATTATTCACTAGTTAATCTCACTAAGAAAATCCGAAAATTCCTAGTTAATTATTTAGGAAATTCGGCTCTTTATCAATTAAATAAGAAAATATAATTTGCTTAATTAAAATATCATATAAAATCTGGTTTTTAAAATAAAATAAATGGATAATAAATCTTATTCAAAATAATAATTAAGTTTTAAAATGCTTGGCGCCAAAATTCAAATATCATTTTAGCTCCATTCAAACAGTAAAATAAATTACTAAAATATCCTTTTTAGAAAATACTAATAAATTAATTAATCAGAAAATACGTTTCAAAAATACTGAGTATTACACAAGGGGTATCTCAAAACAATTGAATTGAGTTGATTCAAGTTCCCCCTCGCTTTAGGCCTTTTGCATAATGATGATGTAGCAAGTGTCACTTTGCCACGTTTTGTTCCTCCTTAATTTGTTTTATGTTTTTTTTTTCTTAATTTGTTTTATGTTTTTTTTTTTCTAGGACTTAGCCCCTGGTGTGCACCAAAAAAATTGTAAGCAACTTAAATCTTAGTAGGTGCTTTGCATAAAATACAAGTAAAATCTGTACTATATATTAAAAAGCGTTTTTAAAAACGCTTATGTGCCATATGACATCCTCCTATACTAAACTCGCCGCCACATCATCATCTTTCAACTAATAAACTCAAAAATGCTTAGCATAAGGTTTGAACTCAAGACCACCAAGATGTGATTAATCATGTTTTATATATGGATTGGAGAGCATTTGATTACTAGCTACTATTTTTTTAAATCAATTCTATTATTTGCTAATACTCATTGAGATAATAAAAGCAAGACAGGTAAATTGTTGTTCTAAAATAACTTTAGTTGTTTAATTATTTTGATAATTGTGTCTTTGTTTTCAAAATACCAATATAAATATAGTGTGTTATGAATAGTTAGTCAATAGTTGTTGCAGTACTTAAAGCATAACACAAATAGACATAAAACCACAACAAAGATAAGGATCAGATGAAAGAAAATACTCAAAATCATACAATTCACAATCAATCAAACTGGAGCAAAATTCATTCAAAACCATAAGTTTTATTGAAAAAAAAAAAAAAGAATGAATGTGCTTATATAATTAGAAATGTTCAAATAAACAACCTGGCCAAGGTACACACTAGTTTATTATAAAAATAATGTTTTAAGTGTTATTAATGCCTATCTTTCACCAAAAAAAAAAAATTAATGCCCATCTAAAATCACCCCCGCCCTTTTTTCATCCTGTCTTAATGTGTAACTATTGGTCTGTTTTCTTATGCTTAGCATACAATTACATAGAGCAATTAAAAAAACTTTATACAAATGGAGGTTTTTTAAGAAATATAAACGTACTCCATATCATCTAATGTGAACTATTTGCTCAAATAATTTTAACTCCTATTACACGGCAATACCGTACAAAATAGAGGGAATATTGACTTTTGACTACTATCATAAATTCATTTTTGTTGTCAATATAATTAATTACAAAAAAGTTCTGCTCGTCCTAAATTTAGAAATTAATCAATAAGTTAAATCTTGAAATAATAAAATAAATTACTCCGTAATAAATAAATAAACAAGTTAAACTTTGAAAGAATTTAATGCCGGTCTTAAATTTAGAAATTAAAAAATAAGTTAAATCTTGAATAATAAAAATATATAAAACAAGTAAATTTTGAAAGAATTTAATTAGAGAAAATAAAAATAATAGAAGAGAAGAAAAAAAAAAAAAAAACAAAAACAACCCACTTGTCAAAATTACAAGAATTAAATTCATAGCCAAAACAAATCACAACGATTTGCATGGCAAAGAGTGATCTCTTCCACTAATCACCCCCCTTATCTGCCATCTCAACACAGACTATGAAGTTTCTCTCTCCTCAGCCCATTCATTCAGAGAAATGCAGCAAGGTAAGATCTTTTCCATAACATAATCCATCAATAAATATAGTTTTGCCTCCTATTTCTACTAATTTTGGCAATGCATCATCTTTTCTACAATGGAAACATCAACCTTCATAACTACTTACCTTGATGATATCCTTTCCTCTCAGTCTGATTCTGACAATTCTAAATGTAACAAATCCTCAGATGGCTATGCAATGCTTATCGCGTCTACAGTTGGATTAATGATTGCTGCAGCTGCTGCATTGTATCATCAACAAAATCTTAAAAACCAAAAACTTGTCCCTAGGATCAAGTTTGATCGCTCCAAGAGGGTGGCAAAGCTCGAGCGATTTTCCCATTATGTAGGTAATTATATCTAATTCTACCTGATGCATGTTTATAGGTCGATTACAATTTTACAAACTAACATACATCTTATGATCTCCTGATATAAAATCGGGACGTTACATAATATGACTCATAATATTATGAATGTCTCTTATGATCAATATGGGCAGCAAGGCAGTTAGGATTCCCTGACAGAAGGCTATGTCCACAGCTCAACAGATTGGCATCTGATTATATACAAAAGAGAGAAGGTTGGGAGGATACCGTCTACTCCTTTTTCGCCCGTGATCCAGATTGTGATTCACTATTCATCAAGCTAGTCGAGGAATTTGAACGATGTATTCTCAGTTACTTCGCCTTTCATTGGAGTTTTGCAGAAACTTCCCTCAAACAGGTAATCCATCAAAGACCCGGCATGCAATCAAATTAGCACCCCAAATTATTGATCATGCTGAAAATTTATGGGTAATGAAACTTTTGCCTAAGGCCCTGCAAAAAAATCCATAAGTTTGTAGCAATATTTGTACCGTAACACATGACAGAATCTTATTCTAGGCTGGTATACATTTCAGGTGATGCAAGGGCCAGACCCAGAACCAAAAAAGAAGCTCAAGAATATTTTGCTAGCTGCCTCAAGGTAAGTCAGAAAAACTCTTTCATTGTATGAAACATGAGAAACGAACAATATGGTTTCTTGCAATGACTAAAGTAATTTTACATGATACTATATGAGAAATGCGACAATAAAAGGGAAACCAAATTTTCATTTTCTCATGCTATGTGATGAGTTCAGGGAGAAGATAATAGAGAAGGTGACTAAAGACTTGAAGGTAGCTAGGGTATTTACCACATTGGTACAAGAAATGAAAGCAATTGGACTCGCTCAGCCAAAACCAGAGATCGATGAGTCTGAATGCACAGATGTGATGGCACCGGTAGCTTTCAAAGATAGAAGTCCAGTTCTCCTCTTTATGGGTGGTGGAATGGGAGCTGGGAAAAGTACAGTGCTTAAAGACATCCTCATTGAGTAAGGAATACATCTCTTTTATTATGCATGAAACCTGCAAAATATATTGAGAAAGATGATTTAAACAATAAGGGAATAATAGAATAACAATAAATAATATCTTTGATGAAATCAATCAAAACAGATGTCTCTGCTAAAGGAAAATATTCAATATTTTCAGCTTACTTCCCTGATACAAATTACTAATTTACACAAGACAGGGCCACAAACCCACAAGGGCTCTACTTCATTGCTTAACTCCCGATATATGTTTAACGGTCAAAAGGAATTGTTTCCTGCTGACATTTTAGGAATTAACAAGACCTGATCTGCTTGCTGGTAAACAATCTTAGCCTAACTCAAATGCTTGGCTTGAGCTCATACCCTAATGAGTCAAGTTGAGGAAAATATGGCAATTATAAAGTTTTAAGCAGACAGTTACTGTTTATTGCAGCTCACTAAAATAATAACTGATATATATATGATCTCGTATGACTCTTAATCTCTGCAACAATGATGCTTCAATTGAAACAAGAATCTTAATGCAATTTGGTCATGCTTAGACATAGAGTGCTACAAATATTAAAGTTCAACTGCAAAACTAAGTACTGAAACCTCTGAAAACTAACCTCATGATTTCAATCATCCATGCAGACCATTTTGGCAAGAAGCATCAGGGCAGGCAGTAGTCATAGAAGCAGATGCTTTCAAAGAAACAGACTTATTTTATAGAGCCCTTAGCTCACGGGGCCATCACGACGCAGTCCACACAGCAGAGCTGGTAATTGTCTTCTCTTCTCCAGATATATGATCTTGCCTCAATTGCATATAGACCAATTAATATCAATAATTATCACCATGCTAAAAACTAATAACATCGGTTTAAAAAAACCTCAGTGCATATTGAAGGATTTGCAGGGGTCAGGTGCATCTTCCCGAACCTATTTGAACAGAAATGACTAGAGATAACAATAGCTTGTGATTTAAATAACAACACACATAATTCCTAAAATATCTAATATTATGAAGTGATTTAATCACAACTTGAGATTTTACGTATCATGTCTAAATCTCGCAGGATAAAACATAGAAAGATCAAATTGCATATGCACTTCCTAAGTTACTAGGCCAGCACCATATCTTCACTATTTCCTAATTCTTGAGTACAGTATGTGACATATCATGATAATTTGGGTCATAAGATTTTATTTTAAACAGGTTCACCAATCATCTGCAGACGCAGCAGCTTCAGTACTTGTGACAGCACTGAATGAGGGTCGGGATGTTATCATGGATGGCACCCTATCTTGGCTTCCCTTTGTAGTGCAGACAATAACTATGGCCAGGAATGTCCACCGTAAACGATACCGTATGGGACCTGGATACCACGTGGCTAAAGATGGAACTGTGACAGAAAATTACTGGGAACAGGTAGAAGACGAACAGGAGGAGCAAACAACCATTAAAAAAAGAAGGCCATACCGAATAGAGTTGGTCGGTGTTGTTTGTGATGCCTACTTAGCAGTGATTAGAGGCATAAGGTAAGCATATAATGTAATGTTCTAAAAAATCTGCTACCATCTATGAAACTCCTATCATCAACTCATATAACAACATTCCTTCTAAAAAAAACCGAGTTGCAAAGGATGTACTTGTATATTGTGTGCATAATGGCAGGCATGATACCTAGTCATATTAGTATAAATACAAACCACTGGAAACGAAGGTGAGAAAGGGAGTCCAGCTCATAAAGACCTGCATTCCAGTCAAATCAGTCAAATATGAGTCTATGTTTTAGAACAAAATTTACAAAACTGAAAATCAGCATGTGAATGACTTCTACAGGTTCAACATTCACCCTACAAAAATTATCTGCACAGACATAGAAGGATCTTCATACTTTAGCCATTGGACCATATTATAGGCAGGATACAAACAAGCTACGTGGTTAAATGTGGAACTAATGAAATAATTTCTCATTTTACATACAGGAGGGCTATCTTGTGTGGGAGAGGTGTGAGGGTGAGTTCACAGCTAAAGTCACACAAAAGATTTGCAACTGCATTTCCAGCATATTGCCAACTAGTAGACCAGGCCAGATTATATTGCACAAATGCTTTGGAGGGTCCACCTAAGGTAATTTTTCTCATCTTCAGTTAACATTACCATTGTCATTAATTACAAATGACCAACAGCATCCCCGACAAAATTCATCTAAATAAATCATATCACCATTCAACATTGGTAAATAAGGCAACACAGATCAGGACTATATCTGCTCAGCCCAAAAATATATATCTCAGTGTTATATTCTATGTGTCTGGCTGACTGTATCTACGCATGCATTAATTGCAAATTAAGATCATTCATAAAGCTTAACAGCCATGGTTACACTAGGCATAAGATCATTCCTGCATCTCAAGAAAATATTTATATTTCTACTCAGTCTTATTGAGTGCAAAATCTGGACAAAATCAGAAATCACAGAATCACAAATGCACAAAACAATTTCACCCACACCAAGCCTGCACGCAGCCAGCCAGAACATTAAACTGTTTCTTGCTTGGCATTTTATAAAACTATTGTACTAAAGACCATTATTGTATAAAGTTGATAGGATGGAAGGACAGAGACAAAACCCTACTAGTTGATCCAGAGGAATTCAAGTGCCTGAAGATAATTTCAGAGTTGAACGAGGAAGCAGACAACATTTATGAGCTTTACAAGGATCCAAACCCAGCATGTCAAGATGGCTCTATTTGGAAAGACATAGTATCATCACCTTCAAGGTTAAATGTGCAACAGGAACTGAAATACTCAATCCAAAGAGTTGAAGGGTTGATAGATACCAAAAATAACAGGAGCAGCTTCCGGAATTTATGAGAGCTGGATTCCAAAAGGATGCAAGCTGAAATCTTCCACCATCTCGAGTTTCTTGTTCCGCAATTCAGAATTCTTCTGGCAAAACAGAGTCAAACGTCTGTATGTAGATCCAAGCACATCTACCTACTAACAACAATTTAGATGATACAGCTGAAGCATCATTTTGGGGAAGTATACAGATCAATAAAGCACAAGTAGCAGTATGCTGTTTAAAATGCAATTTAATTAAGTTGCATCATGCTGACCACCAAACAACCAATGACACACTCACGTCCTAGTGCCAACACTTACATATTTCAGTCTTTAATTCTCTATGAATTTCAGCAAATACCAGTACCACTCAATGTTCATATAGCTTACCTCAAAAGACAACATTTTCCTTTGCCCTTCAATGCATTCAAGTTATACATCGAGGCTTCATTACATCTAAAATCAGGGCAGAAAATGCCCTAAAAATTCTTAAAGTTGTCTTCTAAGTTTAATACAGTCAGAAATTTGAATTTTTTTGAGAAGTCAATTTGTAACAGTTGTCTAATAGTGGGTATAAAAGTAGCCTAAATTCTGGTAAATAAGCAATCATGGCAAACCACTTTACATAGCTCCAACACCAAGCAAATGCAGACCAAAAGGCTATATAGGAGAGAAATTAGTCAATGAGAATGAGGGTTGCAAGTCTTGCAATGAAGTCCCATAATTGCTAGAACCAAGTTTCTCATAAGAAGCGCCCTAAGAAACTTGAAATTTTCAAACTCATAATCCACACAGCAAATGATAGAAAGCACACATACTACAGCTCTCAAGCGAACAGACAATGCACCATGATTTTATTTTTCATGGACCATAAATTTCTAAAATTATCATGAGACAGCATAATATAAATTGAAATTTTGAAACACAGTGCTTTATATAATGAGCTTCCTTTTTTTTTTCTGCCTTTTCTTTTCCAAAGTAACTATAAACTTGAGAAGATTCCAAAGGGAATTCTTGACATCAATAGATATATCAATCCCTTCATGCGTTGAACCTTCAAAACATCTAGAGGATATGACAAGCATACATATCTTCCCTTCGAATATTTTGCTTTAATACTTTCCTAAAACAGAACAATAGGAAAGAAGAAACTAAGATCTTACACATGAAAGATTAACATCAGATGAAGATCATAAAAAACTGACATTAAAGGCCAAGAACATTACAACAAACGCAACAAACAGGTACTACACAATATATAGAGAGATTACGGCCTTATAGAAGATGCCCTTTATTTTAAGATACTGCCAACTACCAAGTTAAGATCAGACACGTAACAATCTCAAAACAGTTAAGTGCTGACTGATAGAGTACAATACTTCTAAAAAGACGGCAGAATACAATGTGCAGGATGCCAAGAGTGAACCAAACCTGAACCCTAAAAAGGACCAAAAGAGCTCTTAAAAGGATCACATCAACACCCTATTATAGCTGATAGGAAGTTCAACAAAAGTATGCAGATGATCTTAACAAAAAAGTAGACAGGAAAGTAACGAGTTAACAACACATATGTCTGTTTTACTCCATAAAAGACTAAATCATTATGCAAGTTTTCTCTTTGGCATTCAAGTCATCCCTACAAATCTACAATATAGTGTGAGTTTGGCAAGTGCATATTGCAAATACTGCTAAGAAAGTTAAAAAAAAAATAAGCTTATTAACCAGATCAACAATAACCAAGTCAAACATCCCTTCAGTTGTAAAGACAAGAAGGCATAATGCAAGTATTTTCCAGAGTCCAGAGCTCCTATTCTGCTCATTATCTTAGGACATCAGATACCCAATACAAATCCAAAGTGATAATAGGCATGTGCACATCAGATTAACCCTACTTTGATATTTATACCCCCACCCCAAGGACAGGTCGACAGTCCCTCTTTTCTCATATAATTTTCCACCACAAATTATCAATCTTTATGTTTACTAGCTCCATTCATCCTAAAGCCTACCCAATGTTTCGTTATAACATCAATGATCCTAAAACAGTTTAAAATAGCTAAAGCACTGGGTATTATGTACAGAAAGGTCAGCCATAGAGAGCAAACATGGAAACTTCAGGTTACGCTCATTTATTCTAAAAATACAAACAGAAATGAAAAAATTAAATATCTCAACATTATGCAGCAGTTCATTAAAGATTATGCAATGGAAAGAAACTAAAGTAACATCATGAGTCCTCCCCAGTCTCCATTACAAGCACAATCTATTCTATATTTCCATTACTCTTCTTTGCAAGGTATAGTTGTAGTTGTAGAGATCTGCGTCCAGAGGCAAAAAACAAAAAATAAAGCACCTGATCAAGGAGGAGTAACTCATGCATCCACATACATAGATCACCAATACCAGTAAACCATCCTGAAATATAAATTTCTCCAATACCTCGAGAATTTAGATGGGTAAAGCCATAACACAACATACCACAGTCACTTGATGCTATCTATTTTTCATGCTTCAAAATTTTATAAACACTAGAATGTACCGGTGCTACTACACCGATGTTTAGGGAAAAAATAGTATGTGGAAGCTATAGATTTTCTTTTTTTTTTTTTTTTTGGTAAAGGAAGTTATGGATAAGTGTAAATTTGGAGTTGTGTAGCATGCAGTTATTTGGAAGCCAATTGAGAGTTGAGGTTTTGGAGTGGTGTGGTTAAGTGTTGCAAAACGACTCTTAAATTATACAAGCTAAGAGACACACGCACATTGCGTGTGCAATATAAGAAACCTATCTCGATTCTCCATTTTTTTCCTGAAATATTATCTACGTTATTCTAATTTTAAAAAATATTATTGGGTTTTAAAAATTGGTGAAGTCATGGTTGGTTTTTTTTTAAAAAAAAGGTGGTAGTTTTTTTTTTTTACAAAAAAAAAAAAAAATAAAAAAATAAAATAAAAGATGAGAGGGGTATTTTGGAAAAGTAAAATTTATCACCCAAAACCCCCTTTCACTTTATATATTACTGATTTTACAACTATTAAGTTAATTTCTCAAAAAAAAAAAAAAAAAAGGTTAATTTCTCAATGCAAGAACCCTAATAATTTGGAGCCCCCTGTGGTAAACTGATAATATGATATGGCACCTTTCAACAGAAATGATAAAACATATTGAGGCACCAATACCAACTTGATAACTTCATATTTCGTCTTTTAAAAAGGCAACATTCCAGATAAATCATCTTTACATAGAAGGAAAAAAAACTTCACGAGCATGTGTCCTTTACAGTGACTAAAGTCTCCCCATAACTCTCCTCAAACTGTCCAGTGCCTTAAAAAACCTCACTGTGATTACTCAATGGCTTCTATTCTATTCAATAACTTCGACACAGAATCCATCCCTACCATTGATCTCCGTCTCTGTAAACCTAGTTAAAGGCTGAAGAAACACTATCAAGCTCAATAAACATCACTTGTGGGGTTAAGGACAATTACTTCCTCTAACAAACAACAATTCCCAGGGTGGAAAGCAGATAAGCTAGATAGACTCTTAGAATGCATCAAAAAATAAGGAAAGTGAAGCAGTGATGGATGAACATTTCCAATAATTGCAAATTATAACAAGCCTCAATCTAATTTCAATCAATTGGAAGGAGGTGGCAGTAAAACATACCATAGAATGCAAACCTTCAGGGTAAATGACCTACTACAATACTCAATAACTCGGACCGCAAAAGTACCCATTAGATACCACCATTGTTCCATCGACAATGAATAAGAGAACACAATGCACAACACACAGAAACAAAGCCTCGTTGTTCCAAGTCTTCTAACTTTCCTATAGTTAAAGAAACACAAATGCACATTGTTAAGACAATTAGAATGTTTGCTTAAAGTTACAGGTTCACAGATTTAGATTTTGATTACCATACAATTTCTAAAATATTATAAACTAGTTGAAGAACAGGGGATTATGTATAGAAAGTTCAACCATAGAGAGCAAACATGGAACTTCAGGTTAGGCGCATTTATTCTAAAATAACAAACAGATACGGAAAATAATATCTCAATTCTCAACATTATGCAGCAGTGCATTAAAAATTATGAAATGGAATGAAACTAAAGGAAGATCATGAGCCTTCTCGAGTTTTCATTTAAAACACAATCTATTCCATATTTCCATTACGCTTCTTTGCAAGCTATAATTGTCCAGGGCCCTAAAAAACCTCATCGTGATTTCTCGATGGCTTCTATTCTATCAAATAACTTCGACACAGAATCCATACATTGATCCCCCCCCCCCCGGAACCCCTCCTGTCTCTTAAAACCTAGTTACCGGCTGAAGAAACATTGTCAAGCTCAATAAACATCACTTGTGGGGATAAGGATAATTACTTCCTCTAACAAACAGCTATTCCCAGGCTGGAGAGCAGATAAGCCAGATAGACTCTTAGAAGGCATCAAAAAATAAGGAAAGTGAATCGGTAATGGATAAAAAATTTCCAATATAATTGCAAATTATAACAAGCCTCAATCTCATTTTAATCAATCAGCAGAATGCAGCATTTCTGCATTTACAATGTAACGTAACATAGAATGCAAACCTTCCGAGTAAATAACATACTATAATACGGAGTACTCAAAAACTCGGACCATCAAAATACCTAATGATATTCATACTCTTTCAAAGGTTCAAACACAATACCACCATTGCTCTCAAGCGTTGACAAATGAGTAAGAGAACACAATGCACAACACACAGAAAACGTCTCACTGTTCCAAGTCCAACTTAGCTGTGATTGAAGAAACACAAATGCACATTGCTAAGATAATCCAAATGTTTGCTCAATCTAACTAGTTCTTCCAATGTATAACACACAAACAATACAACATTATAACAGGTACACAGATTTTGATTTCGATAACAATTTCCACAAGATTAAATACTAAATACACAGAAGCACACTTACATCCTTAGTGCGCAATTCAATTGACTACGAGTGCTTCAAAGCTCATCTAACCCTCCCCTTCAACTCAGC